TGCAGGGCGCCTACGAGTGGACCAGCCCCGAGGGCCAGAACTTCAAGCTGGAGTACGTCGCCGACGAGCTCGGCTTTCACCCCGTGGCCGCTCACCTGCCCGTCGCCCCCGCCGCCCCCGAGATCCCCGTCGCCATCCAGCGCTCTCTGGAGTGGAACGCCGCTCACCCTGAGGAGGACGACTCTCAAATGTACGAGCAGCCCCAGTCCCAGATGTACATCGGCAAGAAGATCATGTACTGACCTTGCACCACCACTCTCCAAATCTCTCTTGTGAATAAAGTCTAATTTATTACATAATAGCTCGACGTGTTTTTGAATTAGTATCCTCAACGAGCGTTTCCCGAGGTACCTTCGAGCTTCGTGCGGGAACGGGCGGGGCGCTGACGCAGGCGTTCTGCCATCCATTTAATCGGGAACTTGCGTGTCGCGGCGGGCCGCGGACAGCCGGCTCGACACTGCTGCATGGCGGGATGGCCTACCCACTGCGTTGCAGGCGTCAAGCTACTCCGTGTGAAGCATGGATCGTGGTAGAAACTTTCGCGACGTGTTGATGATCGATTTTGAAATTGAGTAGGTCGGTGCAGCCAACCACTTCACTGAAGGAGATTTAATCGTAAATTAACGAACAAACACCTGTTAAATTTTATACACGAACTGTTTGTTATTGATTAGAAAGCAAATACTTGTTAAATGACGAAAAGTTCGTAATTTTTTCATGAGATGTAAGTTGCCCATGTTATTGTACGTGCACCCCTGTACACAAATGTGCGTCTATAAATTTACGAACAATTTGTTTATTGCCTACGAACAGTTCGTATTTTTGGATTTTACGAACATTGTTCGTAAAAGCAGAATACGAACTGTTTGTGAGGAATTTTATCGTAGAATTACGAAACCTACTAAGAGTGTTCTCTCTAAAACCCGACCCCATTAGCTTCTCTACTATATGAAAGATAATACGAGCAGCCCCAGTCCCAGATGAACATGAGCAATAAGATCATGTACTATACTTGTACTACGCCGTTTTCTGAATTATATTAATTTATGTTATATCCCTTTTCGAATTGTTTCGTTTTCGCCTTAAAAATATTTCAGTTTTATAATTTTTGGGAAGATATGCTTTTGCTTACCCCTGTTGTAAACGTACCATTGCATTAAGCGCATCCGATGTCCGCGGATAAGTCCGTTTTCTGTTACCTGTTGGTTTTTTCACCGTTTGGTGAAAAAAATCGTATCCGAAAATGGTTAAACATCGGCGCGGATACAGCGGACACGCACCTTAAGTTTGAATGGGTTTTAAACTCAGTATTTTAGGAATATGGTTTAATCTGTCACTTGTCTACGACACAACTTGAGTCTGCTTTTTGCTTTTGGTTTCAAAACCAGCTCTCTCTAAACAACGTACAGAACGACGTCAAAATAATAAAATGCAAACAATTATGAAATAAATTAAGTTTTATTCACAAAAGAGTATAGAAGTACCAGCTCAGTACATGATCTTCTTGCTGATGTACATCTGGGACTGGGGCTGGGCGTACATCTGGGACTGGGGCTGGGCGTACATCTGGGACTGGGACTGCTCGTACATCTGAGACTCGTCCTCCTCGGGGTGGGCGGCGTTCCACTCCAGAGAGCGCTGGATGGCGGCGGGAATCTCGGGGGCGGCGGGGGCGACGGGCAGGTGAGCGGCCACGGGGTGGAAGCCGA